GGGCTGGTGAACGAGGAGAGATTTGTGTCAAAGGTCCGACAATGATGAAAGGTTAGTTACATCATGCCGTTACAGCGTTGAAGTGGAATTACTCATTTAAAAGATAATTTTACCACGTATTTTGATTTAATGTTTTGGAAACCAAGGAAAAGTTATTACATCTTAAGAGGAGCCAATGGGAAATGCTAGTTACCAAGTCGCCACGTCTTTAAAACTCGCACTACCCCCTCAAATAATTGGACCAATTACAAAGGGATAGGAAATGAGACGAGGGCCATTTCGAATTTCTCTAGAAAGCCAATAATAAATGACTTTCTTGGCTGATTGACAGGTTATCTGAACGACCGAGACGCTTCACAACAAATTATTGACGGTGAAGGCTGGCTTCACACGGGAGATTTGGGTTACTATGACCAAGATGAGCATTTCTTCATCGTGGACAAACTCAAGGATTTGATCAAGTTCAGAGGAGATCAGGTCGGTTTTCTTAATTCATGTCAGTCAGAGAATATCGTCAAATATGTGTAACGTAGGAAATTGTGGGCGTGACCTCCCTGAGTGTACACGCAATGCGTTGAAAAATACTTGGTACAGTAGAAAGCATTGTATTTGAAACGTAGCCGATAAGAATCTTGTAATTGGAGAACGGGCACGAATGGATAGTGCCTCAGCTTGCCTTGCTTTCATGTGCGTCACGCGCGGTGGCACGTGAGCTGTTCGTGTCCTCGTAGAGATTCCGCTACGTTGGCTCTTTGTTTTTGATTTGCCGTAGTTTATTGAAATTTTTTAAACTGATTTGTCTCTCTCGACTTATTGCCCAACACAGTATCTTACACTAAATGAATGAATATAGAGAACCTGAATTTGTAAGCGCTCTTCTGTTCAATCAGGTGTCTCCTTCAGAGCTCGAAGTTCTCCTCAAGACCCACCCGGCCGTATTTGACGCAGCTGTTATTGGGTTCCCAGACCCTGAAGTTGGAGAATTGCCCACAGCTTTCGTTGTGAGTATGAACGAAGAAGATTTGACTGAAATGGAAGTTATTCAATACGTGGACGAGAATGCAGCAACTCACAAAAAACTTCGAGGAGGTGTACTGTTTATTAATTCGATTCCCAGATCTGAGGAAGGAGAAATCCTTCGAACAGAATTAAGAGACAAAATGATTCAAGGAAAGTACAAACCAGTACAGATGAGAAGAGGGTCGCTTTTTGGAACCGAGGAAAACAAAAGATTTTCTATAATGAGAAACTCTTTACCGATGACTAGGAATTTACCACGAAACAATGAAACAATTCTGGAGGAAGAATCCGATCAATTGCAAGTTCCAAGATCAAAAAGCTGTGTTATATTATGAAAGGAACTCGTGCCCTCTTACATGAATAACAGATAATGCTGATGGTGTTAATGCATTGATCATGAAGGCTTCATTTGGCCGCGGTTTCTTTTTCAGGAATAAGGAAAAGCCTTTAAATGTCATTCATTAGATTAAAATTTTTCCCTGAAGTTCACAGGTTCCCATTTATACTGCGACTGCTCTTTCTTTAAGGATTTAGTCTGCTTATCTTTGTTTGTTGTAAATATCTTGCCGTATTTACAAGCTTCACGAATGGCGAAGTGCCACTTGCCTTTCATATCGAGAATGTTAATTTATAACATTTTAAAAAGAAAATAATATGCCTGAGGCAAATTTGACAAAGCATGTAAAAAGAGTTGTGTAGGTAAAATTAAGCGAAGGAAAGTGTAATAGTAAAATAAATCCTACATTCTCCTTTTCGGGTCTTTTTGATTTGTCATTTTTTCTGAGTTCAAAATATCAATTGATTTAGCGAGGGATGACTTCATTGCAATGAATCATTGGTGCAAGGTGCTTCAAACCTGCAAAATAATTATTAAGGTATACTCACGAATTATCCGCTTATTGAGCTCATCAAGCTGTCGAAATTTATCTGATTGTGTCAAACTGATGATTTTCCCAAAAATCCTTTATTCACATTCAGATAAATTGGAAACTATATAGTTTTAGGAAATTTTTTAGATTCCGTGCTGCCGTGCGTCTGTTCAGAAATAGATCACAGATTCGTAAATAAAGTCTGGAAAAATGTGATAAGAGAAAAAAAGACGAGGAGCAGCCGAGTGTGTCCATCACGTTCGTACTTCACTTTGACGTCTTTTGGGATTTATTTCTGAACAGACGCACAGCAACATGTATTTGTTTTATATGATATAAAAGCAAAATGTTGTTGGTGGCGACTTCATCTGTACATCTGTCCTACAGAACCGATCAAAATGTACGGATAATTGAGGTTATCTTATATAACTGGCAAAAGCTAATAAGTGATTCTCACAATAGCTTGAAATTTTTGCAGGATGTATAGCAGCGTGATAAGATCATTTATAGTATTTGAATGATATCAAATAAGACCCTTAGTGGCATGTTGAGTTACTCGTAACTGCCAGTTTCTCGTTTAATTGAGGAGATAAAAGCGTGGGGCGAATGAAAGGTTTAATGTGTTAAATTAGGAGGAACTAGCTGCTGAAATATGTTTTGTGGGTGAGTGTGTGGGTGGGTTATACGCTACAGTTAAACCTCGATTATCCGGAGACGAACTAATTTACGTCATCATGTTAGGTCCCGAAGCGAAAGTTCTCTAAATTTGTCGCTGAGCTGAAGAGCCTGACCTTGCAGCGAGTTGTATTATCCCCAACGAAATATTTCATTCTCAAAAGCGGGGAGCTACTCCTTGAAAGAGAGAGACACTTTCGAGGGAAACGCAACGAGCAGATAGCAATAGTGTAAGGTTCGGAAAAGGAAGCTGCACGAATGTATGGTTACTGAACTTTAGAAATTTAATTGACCGTAAACCACCTTGAGGAGTTAACATAACAAAAAAGGCAACGATCTTTACGTAACATAAAACATAACAGACAAATGGTTGGTCTATTTATCATTTTTACAGTCTATTAATAACAGGTAATAAAGCCACAGGTCGTCAATGACCTTGGAATTTAACATAACAAAGCATACTCGAGTTCCTAGAAATGGAAATAAAAGGCGGCAAATAGTCGGCCGATTTTCTGCCTTCTACAACCTGTTAGAAGTTAATGGCTTTTATTAGCTCAGTGATTTCAACGAAAAACAGCCCGGGAGGTTCGAAAATTTTAGAGTTTTAGACAAAAACAGGCTAATTTCTTTTGTTTTTGTGATGGAGCACAATGCGACGGAGGCTTTGGTCAAACGCTTTCCACTTTTATCGCACTATCAAAAATAAATACTATAGAGTAGCTTCAAGAGATTGACACTTGTCAAAAGCAAAACGAGCCGATTCAAAGTCGTTTTAAGTTGTTATTATGCACTTTCACACAACTGGCAATAGATTACGAGATGTTTTAACAACGTAAACAACTTAAAATTTTTGCGGGTTATTTAATAGAGTGGCCTGCTCGTTAAATCATTCATTGTCGTTGGGCAATATCAAATAAGCCCATTGGTGACATGTAAGGCTACTCGTAACCCTCCAGTTTATCGTTTATTTAAGAAGAAAAAGACGTGAAGCGAGTGAAAGCTTCGAGGTATGAAATTAAGAGGAAATAGGGGTGGTCCACCCCTGAAGAAGGCACTAGACAGGAGTGTCTAAACGTTGGGTCTATGAATTATAACTTCTTCGGTTACATTCATTAAATCTATAAACCAAAGTAGCATCAAACCATGTCTTATTGTCCACCTGTTTGCCGTGTGAACTTTAATACAAAGCTAGCTTATTTTTACAGATGACAAAAATTGTAGTTAAAATGTAATCCCTTGTTGAAGATATTCCAACCCTAAGCCTTTACCCCTTCCATCCAAAATCCTAACTGAAATAAAGTTCTCTAGCTGTAATTACAACTAAACTTAATTGGTTAGCTGATACCTTGATATGCGGTATCGTGCAGAATATATTTTGCTTTTTTTGTTTCGCAAACGTGAATTGTCGAAGAAGAAACAAAACAACACATTCACAGCTAATATGCCAGTCCAAGCGAATATCTTTCTATCCAAACACAAAAACGAGTCACTTTACTTTCATCCAATAAAACAGAATTAAAAGTTAAAGAGTTTGATAAACGAAATGTTTTAAAGTTCATTTCTAAATTCCGGCATTTATCAACATGGTTAAGATTGAGCTCCAGTTGTTAAATAGAGAA